TATATATATATATATATTTTTTTTTCATTCTCCTTTGCATCACAATAATCAACTATTCTAATTTCAACAGGTAATCCATTACTTTGCACTAACCTGAGGATTCAACACTAAACTGGCTGTCTGGACTGGATGCAGGAGAGGATTCTCCTGACAATGAACCACACGATGTTGAAGAAGCTTTTGACTTTTTATTGTTAAATTTCTCATTTGGAAAGTTGTGACAGTTATTGTGATTACTATAATCACTTGTATAAAACTTTGGTTCCACATTCTTGATGCTTGAGGAGTTAATGCTGCTGCTATTTTTTTGCCAATGATCAACAGGTGGCAGATTTGACATGCATAACTGTCTAAATCTTGGCACCTTCTGCTGAGATTTTTCACTTGTGGAATGATTTTGAGAGTGAGTATTAAGTTCAATTTTTTCAATGTAAGACACGGAAGATCTATCATTGCAAGGCATAATACGCTTTCGGCTGTGAAACACAGGATACTTGTCCATTGTTGTGCCTGTCTGATTATCTTTTCCCTTCAGCCCTAATTGAATGTCTGACTTACTGACATTAATTGATGTCGGGTCAACTCTTAAGTTCTCACCACTTGTGCATCTGGGTCTAGAGTTGCCATCAGGCCATCCAATATTTTCCATGAAACTGTCTGCATTGGAATGACTTAACCTTTGATGATTATCAGACCTAGTTACATCAGTTTTGCAACATTCTTGATTTACTAAATTTGATCTGGAACCCAAGGGGATTGATCCATGGGAATTCATTCCCAGCTGGTTAGACTTATTATAGTGAGATATTCTCTGCTTCTTTGTTTGATGAGGTTCAGTGTTGGTTGACACACGCTTCTGAATTATAAAAATAAAAAATTAGAATGAATAAAAATACAATTAAATTAACACAAGAGCAGTTGTTATTGTTAAAATAACTAGAAAAGTAATTGTTTAATGCATTTTTTAATGTTTAAGATATAATATGAGTATTAAAATATGGAAAAACAGTTAACTACCAAGTGAAAGCTCTTAATGCTTTATGGCAACTTTCTCCAATTAGAAAAATCATAACTTAAAGCTTCGTATATGTATATTATGATTTTGTCCTTTCTTGGTTCTAATGTCTGTTATGACACTCCAATACCATCTTATTTCTTACAGAATGTTAAAACAATTATAAAATGAAAATTGTCATTTTTATTACTATAACAATTCTTAATATGAAATATAATTTCACATTAAGATATTTCAAGGAACAAATAAAATAACTGTGATATTAATGGAAAATGTTAAAATTACTGTTCTAAAATGTGCATACATTCATACATTACAAGTTGTAAGTCTGATTCTAACAAGGACAAAAAAAATTTAATTTTGCTATAAAGGCCTGCAAGAATGGGAACAACTGTTGGTAAAACATTAGCTCTCTCTCTCTCTCTGAGTTATATCTAGAACTGTTGCATTTAATGGCAGTTACAATAAATTGGTCTACATTAAAAACCTGCAATAAAAAGAGCCTAACATTTCATTTGTAAATATGGTTAGAAGAGACCTAAATAAAATGGAGCATTGTTAAAAAAAACATTAATAATTTCTCTCTTGTGTTACATCTACATATTGCTTTGTAATTTCAATAAAAATAATTAAACATGTGATAAATATTCATTGATATATGTTTTAATAATGACACATCTGCTTTTAACACCTATTTTAAATAACTAATTGAGTTAACTGCAGTGAATGACCAAAAAAATGTCAGCATCACTCAAAGACCTTGTAGAATTCAACAAGATAAAAACTGAGAAAAATACAAGAATTTAGGATTAAGTAATGAAAAAGAACAACTTATTACTCTACATAACAAAAAGAAACTTAAAATATGCTACTTAACCTTTTAAAAAAATGTGGTTTAAATTACAATATTTTGCTAAGGCTAGGAATTTACAGTAAGAATAAGAGTTGGCATCCAAGGAAAACATCTAAACAGATATTATCATTCAAAATATTTTAGCAAATCTATTGAAATTTTCTCTATATTAAATGCAGAAGTAAAGATTATGCATGGAACTAAAATTAGCAATAAAAATAAATGTTTGTAAGCCCTTTCTAGAAAGTTGTACTCAAAAGAAAAACAATCATTTCAAGCAGGAACATAGTCAAGTGATGTTTAAAACTCAGAAAAAAGGATAATAAAACTGGAAAGAATGAAGAGGTGTTTGTACTATGGACTACAAAGCAAAGACTGGGCTTTATTAAAAATGTGAGGTTTGTTTTAATGGTGTTTATAACCTAGAGAATATTAGTCAAAGATATATATATGAAAAAAGAATAAATAATTATGGTTGGTGTATAATGGTGAGCAGATGTTTTTCTACTGTTGTTGTACAAAAAGAAGTGTCACAATATTCTTGTTTATTACACACTATCCATTGAACAATATTTAATTGGCTCTGGCTTTAAATTTCAGCAGAATAATGATGTAAAAACCTGCCTTATCGAATAAGACATATTTGAAAAAGAAGGAAAGACCTGGTAACATGAAAATTATGAAGTGAAATTGCCCATAGTCCTAATGCAAATCCAACTGAACATTTGTGGCACCAGTCTAAAAGTACTATTTCAAATTACCAATTGATGCTCTTAAAAACTGGCAGAATTTATGCCTGATTAATGTACACCTATAATTTATGCTAGAGCATAACCTACTATTTAATATATTATGTTTCATTTTGTAGTTGATCTTTGCTTCTTATATGCTAGTACTGGATCATTTTAATATGTTTACACACAAATCTCTGGTCGACTGTATTTTAGATATAATTTTCAGGTTACATTTTTAAAGCTGAAGGGATGATATTTATAAAAAACAAAACTGCTTCAATCACTGAATTTAGTTCATGTGAGTGTATGAACTTGTATGTGCCTTCAAATATATATATATATATATAATACATGTATTTTCACAAACAGAAGTTTACACATACAAAACTTAAAAAAAAGTAATCAGACCTGTGATACAGTGGAGACATATTCCTGAGGAACGTAAGGGGAACGATTTTCACTTTCACTAGGTGGTGTTAGATTTTGTGGTTTTTGTCTAATAGAAAAAAAAACAAAGAAATTTTATGAAAAAAAAATTTTTTAGCAAGGAAAACATATTGTTGCAACTTTTATTTATAATCCAGTAAAAATCAGATTTGGTTACTAATTGGTTGGTGATTTATATGATGTCAACATAAATAAATTTTGTCAAAATCTGAGGACTTTAAAAGTTGTTTTGGTGCTCAAGATATTAATAACCTTTTAACAGATTATCTTTTAATGAAATGCATTAATGTTGTTTTTTTTTTACGAGTTTATGGGGTACTTTTGGTATATTTCTCAAAATCAAATAAAACCACTGAGTAAAAATGTTTGCAGAAATTAATTTGTTTTATTAAATATAAACATGAATTAAAAACAAAATAAAAATGTCCAAAATTTTTAAGCAAATTATTTACAAGTATTTTTGGAGAGTTAATGAAGAGAACTGTAACAAGATTTTTACAAATGATTGGAATACTTATAAATATCCAATACAGCAAAAATAATTCATCAAACTAATATATATATAAAAATCATTAAACTGAAGTCTACTGTTAAGATAATGGTTAAACTTAGCTTTTATATATTCCATATAAAAATGGAACAAAGTTATTTTGATTTATGATATTTAAAAATTAATACAAGTTGCATATTGCTTTCAAATTCTAATGACAGCAGTTATATTTTATTAACATAAATTATATTTTGCTAGAATATTTTCAAGGCTTTTAATATATACTACAATACAATACTTCTAAATCAAATCATTCATTCAGCCAACTTATTACTTTCTTGTGTTTACTTAAACAGATTGTATTTTTAACCGAGTAAGTCAAAATTAGGAATTATAACTACTATTAGTAAAATAATTATACTTATACACCTATTAAATAACTGTCCTTTTTCATTAGTGATACAAGTAAAAAACTTATGGTATTGAAGAAAACATGTTGGAACAAAAATTACATTTATTCTTTCACATTCAATATGGATAAGCAAAATACATTAAGAAAAAAGTGGTGAATTTTCTTTAAAAACATTTCTATCTTCATTATCAGCCAATTTTTTTAACCAATTATACACAGTCATTTTAGTGGTTTGTATTTACCAATTATATGTTAATTAAAATTAGACAAGTTCCTCCAAATTTGTTTTCATTTACTAACTATTATGTGCAACCATCACAACACAATTATACTGGCTTAACAATAAAAGGTCATAACTGTACTGTAAAAACTAATGAAATTATTATGTAAGTCTTAAATTGTTTGAAATTGTTAAAATTGCTTTTTAGATAAATAATTAAACTTATTTTTGAAATTGGTTACCTATTTTCTGTCATAAGTATATTCTTTCTGTCACTCTTGATACTTCATTTATGTACTCAAAAACAATTTT